TTTCTCTCTCACTCTCTCTCTTCACCATATATTCTCTTATCTTGTTTCTCTCAATTTCTTTAGGCAAATGTCTGCCAACAAAAATTGTAAACATTTTTGTTTGCAATTAATTTCCCTTTATTTCGTCCATTTTTTTCGGGCTTTTAGATATTTAAATGAAGAGTGAATTTACAAATCTCTTTGTCTACCTCTCAACACTGTTTGGAAAAAAAATTTTTTGCTACAAAAAAACCCTTTTTCAAATAAATAATAAACTAAATTATTGAAACATTTTGTTTTAATAATTTAGTTTAATTAAATTTTTATTCATTATGTTAATACCTAATTAGTGCGAGTGTAATTAAATTAATGGATTTGAATATTAATAAATATCTTTAGTTTTAGGAATTTTAATAATTATTAGGAATTTTAATTTATTTCTCGGAATTTTAATTAATGAATAATTTTAGTTTTAGTAGATTTAATGAGTAAATTTAATAATTTCAATTTTTGTAATTTTAATTAATAAATAGTTTTAGTGTCAGTAAAATTGATTATTTTTTATTTCAGTAATTTTAGTTAATAAATAATTTAATTTTTTATCTATTTCAGTAAAAAAAAATAAATTTTAGTTTTAGCAATTTCAATGAATAAATAATTTTATTTTTAATAATTTTAATTAATAAATAATTTTAGTTTCTATTAATTCCAGTGAATAAATAAATTTTACTATTGTTAAATTCAACGAATAAATAATTTTACTTTTTGCAATTTCAATGAATAATTTCAGTTTTAGTAATTTTAATAATTAAAATTTTCAAGTTTTATATCCTTTTTGATGAAAATTAAATTCTATCATAAAATATAAAAAAATTGTCCTTTTTAAAAAGAAGAAAATGGATCGAATAAGTTGAGCAAATTGAAGTGAAATAAAATTTTCATGAAAACTTTTTTTTTAATTGTAATAAAAAATTTATGATGTGTATTATAAACACAAAAGTCGCGAAAGAGCTTGCTTTGTTGCTTTAATCTTTTTGCGTGTTAATTTTAAGGTTTTGTAATATGCAAATCAGATGAGACGTCAAAGGTACATTAAGGCTCTATAATTATTATGGTTCATGTAGAATTTTTAACTCCTCGGTGCAAAGAAAGGACATGTAATTTAACCTCAACCACGTTTTTTAACAATTGCTGCTATAATATCTCAAAAAAAAATTTAATTTAATTGGGTCAACTTTTTGTAAATCAGAAACAAAATTACATGTAATTTATTATTGGAAGAATGAAAATAATTTTTATCTTTATAAATTATCGAAATATTTTTAATCATAAACTAAATATAAAGAAATGTAATTCTAATTGTAAGTAATTAAATTAGAATGTAAATAAAATATGAAAGTAAAGTAACTACAATTAATTGAATTGTAAATTAAAAATTAATAATTAATTATAAGTATTTATTTATTTTATTTATTTTTTTATTTATTCATTTATTTTATTTATATTTATTTACAGTATAATTATAATTAGGTTATAATTAAAAAATATAAAAATTATAACAGCTTCAATAATTAACTATTCCACGCGCCTTGGATTCGAGAAAGAAACGTCTTTCTTAAATGAAATTTAGAAAAATTTCCATCGCGAATATTTTCCAGTAAAGAAAAGTTTTCTGCAGAGAAATTAATAATTACTAACAAAGAAATAAATGAAAAAAAAACAACCATTCCTTTATGATTAAAAAATATTTTCTCATACTTTACTTTTTCTTGTTTATGAAACTTTTCTTTACTTCATAATAATTAGCTAAAGGTTTATTATTGATCGAAAAAAACTATATCTATATACCATTAGCTAAATGTCCTCCCTTGAATCAAAATCCACTCTCAAAGTTTGTTTAAATTTTTCTTTTTTTTCATTTTGATTTATTATTTGTGTATATACGGATTGAGTTTATCGTGTTTTATTTTATATTTTTTTTAAACCCAAGATATTACGCTTCAAAGGTTTCTCGATAAACTAGCCGGCTCGTGACGTAAATTAAGCTCCTGTTAAGATAGGTCGCAGAGTTGGAACTTTGCTCTCAAAAATTTGTATTTATAAAAAAAAGGAAAAAAAATAAAATAAAATTGAAATATAAATATATAAATGAAAGAAGAAGAAAAAATCGGAAAATTTAAAAGGGTTGTCAAGATATATATATATATATATATATATATATATATAATAGAGAATGAAATACGATGGAAAATTCTCCTCCACACATTTACACACTAATGGGGTCAAAAACCTATATTTAGAACAATTTTTCTTTTTCAACCGATTTCACTTATATCGCACTATATGATTAATTTGTTTTCCAAGAAAGTAATTTTATACTTTTATCACATTAGATCTATTATTTAACACCTGCGTAGGAATAGTAATTCAAAAGTGTTATTACTTTTCTTATTTATTATTATTATTAGTGTATTATTACTATTATCATAATAAAAATAATTAATTATAGTTTTTAATATTATTTATTATTTTTATTAAACTAATTATTATTATTACTAATAATAAAGTTCTAAATATGCTACCTATTATTACAGTTATTATTTATATTACCAACAAAATTTATAACAGTAAAAAGAATGATAAAAATTATTTTTTATATTAGTGTAGAGTAGAGTAAAATTTTATTTTTATTAGGCTTATTATTATTAATTATTTTGTAATAAAAGGCCTAAGAAGTAAAAATTAAAATTAATTTGAAATTAAAAACCAAAAGTAATTAAAAAAATAGATAATAAATTTTTGAGATATAAAAAAATTGTGAATAGTTTTCTGAGTATTAAAAAAATAGTAAATAATTTCTTGCTTGTAAAAAAATAGTAAATAATCTTTTTTTCGATAATTATTTTCTGCTGAAAGTGACTGGAGAGTTTTTAATTATACGTAGAGTTTTCTCTCCCATTCCTTCTTCTTTTTGTGCAAAAAAATCGAAAAGCTGAATTTTCCAGTTGACCAATATATTTAGAAAAATTTTTTAGAATATTTCTCAATTTTTCTTCTTCAATTTACGTTCGGAGATTCAGGGAAATATTTATGCTTATCGGATCATATATTATTTGCAGATAAAAATTGGAGCATTTGCATATACGTATTCATATTTCGCTTTTCTTTCGTTTCTTTACTATTTCTTTTTTCTTTTGCTTTTCTCCTTTTTTGGTGAAATATTTACAAGAAGTGTTGTTGGCTTGTTTTTAATAATCAATATAGGTATATATTTAAAAGAAAACGGAAAATGTCTTTGAAATCTTTTTCTTTTTTTAGTTTTCTATATTTTTCTATATCTCTTAAAAAGTACAAAAAAAAATTCCAAGAAAACTTTTTTTTATTCAATTCTATATATAATTTTACATAATATAAAAGCGACGTTTTTTTTAAAAAAGGCGAAAATTTTGTAAATTCTACGATATAATTTGGAGAATTTTAGAGAAATTACAAATAATTGCAGAAATTCAATTATTTTCAAAAGTAATAAAATTCTTCGCAGACATTCAATTATGTAAAAAAAAAATTTTTAAATTCTCGTCAAAATTTAAATTATATTTAGAAATAATTAAATTCTTCTCCGAAATTAAATTATTTTCAAAATTTTTAATAAAATTCTTGGCAATATTTCAATTATTTTTAAAAACTTTCCTCAATTCAATGATTTTTTATATTTATTCTTTTAAAAAAATTGTCCATAAGAATTCAATTATTTAAAAAATTTTAAATAATATTCTACGCAACCTTTAATTATTTTCATAAAATAATACAAATTTCACAGGAATTCAATTATTTACAATTTTTTTTATAAATTTCTTCGCAATCATTCAATTATTTTCATAAATAATACAATTTTTACACAGATGCAATTATTTTCATAAATAATAATACCTATCGCAGAATTTCAATAATTTTTAATACAATTTTAAACAAATTCGTCGAAAAATGTAATTATTCTTAAAAATTCTATTAAAATTTTTTTAAAAAATTATTTGAAGAATTTATTTTCTAATATACATTTAATTGAAGAATTTCTGAATAATTGAAAATTTGTAAAATTGAATTGAATACAAATGAATTTGAAAATTCTCAAAGAACTTTTTCAAAAATTATTCAAAATAATTTATTTATAGAAGAATTTTAGTTAAAAACACGAAAAAAATTTAATTTTGGAAAAATTACAAATTATTGCAGAAATTCTATTATTTTCTATTATTTCTTCAAAAATAATAAAATTCTTATGAATTCAATAATTATTTTCATAAAAAATAAAACTCATCGCATATAGTTTCAATTATTTTTAAATTTTTAATACAATTTTAATCAAATTCCTCGAAAAATGTAATTATTATTCTTAAAAATTTTATTAAAATTCGTCGAAATAATTCAATTATTTAAAAATTTGTTGATAACATTCTTTGTGGGAATTGAATTTTAAGAAACATTCAATTATTCAATAAATTATTTATTTTTGTATTTAAATAATTTAATTTGTAGTAGAATTTTCTAATAAAATAAAAATTGATTTAAAAATGAATTTCAGTTCATTTAATTCGGTAATTAATTATTATAAAACATGAAGAATAAAATGTTTTACAGTTATGAAAAATTTAATTTGTAGTTTTAAGTAAAATGTTCTCTTATTTGACTCGGACTGGTTATATTTTTGTCAGTAATAATTAGTCCGTAAAGTCCGTATTTTTAAATACTTTCACTGGTTCGAGCACTGGATTATTTATTTTATTATTTTAATATTAAAAATTATGTAATATTACAATAGGATATTAAATAATAGAATTATTGTAAAATGAAAATTTCTCACGTGCTTCAGGAATTAATTAATTTCATTGTCATTGTTATGGGAATGAAAAGTGAAATATTTCAAAATAAAAAAATATTTCCCAGGGATAATCTGTGTTATTCGTTTAAATATATTCAGTAGTAATTTCGAGCTTGGTTTGTCACAAGTAAAAAGGTTCCTTTTAGTCATGTATAGTAGGGATAATCCTGTCAGGTCAGACGCTTCTGTTTCGTATCACAGGAAAATCTATGCGAACTTCAAAGTTATTTTTTAAATGATTTACTTTTTACATTTGCACATGGAATTTAAATTCTTTTTCTTTAGAAAAAATTTTCCACTTTTTGAAAATACTTAAGTTTTATTATTATTTTTTGAAGGAAAAAATTTTTACTTTCCAGAGATTTATATTTAACACTATAAAATTTACTATTTAAAAATATTTTAATTTTATTTTCTATTTTAAATTTTTAGAAGTTTAGAATTAATTTATTAATATAAACTTTTATTAATTAATTAATTATTAATTATTAATTATTATTTTTTTATTAATTAAATGTAGAACATTTAGAATTATTTTTGTATAATTTATTTTTTAGTGTTGTCTGACATTTTTTTTTGCAAATGTTTTGTTTTTAATAAAATAATAAAATTTAATTTAATATTAATCTCAATTTTAAGCAAATGTTTCATCGCAAATAGTTATTTTTGGTAATATTAGTTGTTTTGTTTACTTTTCGTTTTGTTGGTCGCTATCAACAGAACAGCATGGAAAATAGAATTTTAATTCTGTGCGAGCTTTGGTCGATGACAAATTTAATTTAAATCGATTATTTTCACAGAAGTTTATTTTGCTCCTATCCTAATATAAATTAATTCATTTAATAGTATGTTTGATTCGTTTGTTTAATTTTTTTAAGTTCTAGTTCCTATATTTGTTATTTGTAATTATATTTATAATTTTTAGTGCAGTTTATTTGTTTGATAGTTCTAGTTCTATAATTACATTCAACAGTGTAATTTTATTATTTTTTAAAACTGTGGAAGGGAAAAAATTTGATTTATACTAAAAACTTATACAAGTGTCAACAAAATGATAGCTGTAATTGCTAAAGTACTGTTGAAGGAGTTCAAATGTATGGATGATATTTATCTAAATGCCGCTATATATAAGCAGGTAAATTATCAATTTATAAATTTATAATTTGTAAAATTATTTAAATATTTACTTTAACATTAAGATATTTATTGTGATACATTTACTGTACATTTAAGAACTTAAAATTAGTTTTATTTTTCTACATATTTCTGACAAACTCTTATTTATGTCAAACAATTTATTTTAAATTAGCTTTTTAAATTGGAAATATTTTTCAATTAATATTTGATTCAAATAATCGATTACTTGACTATTATTAATTAAATATTTACTGGAATCAAATAAATTTTTATTTCAGTCAATTAAATTGTATTATTTAATATTGCAAATTGCAACTTTTTAAATTGTTGATTCAAATAATTATTGCTTCAAATTAATTTAATTTAAATAAAAATTATTTGATTTCAGTAAATATTTATTATCTGATAATAGAATTTAATAATTAATAATTGAATCAAATAAAGATTTTTTTTTAGTGTAGATATTAGGAATTATTATTTTCTCCAGAGATGTGTTTACAAATAAATATGTGTATGTGACTGCTAATAGAGTTTGTGAAGGACAGCCAAAAAGCAACAAAGCAATTTATTTATTTATTTTTTTTAAGATTGGAAGAGATTCATCCGTGAAGAAGAAAGTAGATAACACTTTCAAAATGAGAGTTCGTGCCATTGTTAATAAAAACATTATTTTTCGTAAAACCTTAGAGAAATTAATGTTGAAAAAATACGAGTCTTGTCAGAATTTCAAATATAAGTGGGAAAAATGCAGTTCCGAAATCGCATCGACAGTAAATTGTAAATGCAGGAGAAATAAATTAAAGAACACTGGGAGAGAAGTCAAAAAATTTGAACTTCTTGATGGCATCAAGAAACATGAAAAGAAAAATGATGAGTTAAAAAATAAAAAACAATATAATACAAGATCAAGAAAATTAGTGAAAGAAAAGGAAAATGTATAGAAAACATTGAGAAAACATTATTGCTTAAATGAAATAGAAAAATATTTTTAGATGATTTTGTTTAATTAAAATTAGTTTGTAAGCTTAATTCCAATGTATAAGAAATATTTATACTGTTTTGATTCAAAAGTAATATTATTTGTTTGAAGAATTATGTTTCATATATTCTGTTTTGGTTTAAACAAAAAATATATTTAGGAAATTGTATGTTTCATTCAAACTTAAAAGTGAATTTCGAGCCTTTTCCCTCCTTTCTTTCGGTACTGAAGGAAAATATCCAGAATTGAGAAATTTTCTCAAGAAAATTGGTAAAATGTGATCAGCAATAACTTGTTAACACAAACGAATGAATAAATCATTACGCGAAAAAAGTGGGAAGGAATGAAACTTTTGCAACGGAATTCAAAATAAATGAATTGGCCAGGCTATTAAAATGTAAAGTTGATATTTAAATGATAACAGAAGTGATGAAACTACTTATTTGGATGCTGTATTCCCTCACAGTAAATCGTGAGGTATTAGAAAGTGTTGTAGATTAAATTAACAACAAAAAAGCTTAAAATAATCAATTTTGGTGTTATTTTTTACAATAAATGAAATTTTAGTTCATTAAATTTTTTTATAACTATAAAACATGAAGATATCGATAACTCCGAGTCTTTGACTCGGAGTGATCGATTTCTTCATATTTTATAATAATTAAAGATGACCAGGTAATAAAATCATTATTTTATATTATAAGAATATTATACTTCTTTAAAATTATTTTCATTACTTCGATTCAATTATTATTTTCAAACATTTTTAACTAGAATTTTACTTTATATCAATTATTCTTAATAATTTTCGAAAAAGTTCTTTTGCAATTTTCAAATCCATTATTGTTTACAATATTCAATTTCACGAAATTTCAATTATTTCTAAATTTTTTAATTAAATTCATATTAGAAAATAAAACCTTCAAATAATATAAAAGAAAGTTCAATTAAACTTTTTCAAAAAAATTAATTTCAAAATTCAATTATTTCTAAAAATTCACGCTTTATTGCTTTTAATATTCAATTATAATCTATTTAACTGAAATTCATTTTTATAAAATGAAAATCAATTTTTATTAGAAAATCCTACAAGAATTTAATTATTTAAATGCAAAAGTAAATAATTGAATGTTTCTCAAAATTCAATTCTCATAAAGAATTTTATTAACAAATTTTTAAATAATTGAATTCTTTTCTCGAATTTTATTAAAACTTGCATGAACATAATTACTTTCTTCAAGGGATTTAATTATAATTGTAACGCTGCAATGAGTTTTATTATAACTAAAAATAATTGAATCCTTAAGAAGAATTTTATTACTCTTGAAAATAATTGAATTTCTGCAATAATTTGTAACTTCTCTAAAATTAAATTTTTTTCTAGTGTTCAGAAATTCTGCAATTAAATACATATTGAAAAATAAAAACTTGAAATAATTTTAATAAAAATCCTATTAAACTTTTAAAAAGAATTAATTCTACAGAATTGTTTGTCAAAAATATGAAAAATTAAGAATTTCAATGATTTTAATTTGAAACTTTTCCAAAATTTAATTATTTCTAAAAATCCACGTTATAATGCTTTTAATATTTAATTATAATCTAAAATTTTAACTGAAATTCATTTTTAAAACCATTTTTATTAGTAAATTCTACGAGAATTCAATTATTTAAATACAAAAATAAATAATTTATTAATTTCATGTTTCTTGAAATTGAATTCTCATAAAAAATGTTATCAACAAATTTTTTAAACCATTAAATTCTTTGGACGAATTTTAATAAAATTTTTAAGAATAATAACATTTTTCGAGGAATTCGATTAAAATTGCATTAAAAATAATTGAAATTATGCAATGAGTTTTAATATTTATGACAATAATTGAATCCCTGTAAAAAAGTTATTATTTATGAAAATAATTAAATTATTGCGAAGAAATTTATAAAAAAATTTGTAAATAATTGAATTCGTGTAAAAAATTTTATTATTTATGAAAATAATTGAATGTTTGAGTAGAATTTTATTAAAATTTTTTTTAATAATGGAATTCTTTCGGAAAATTTTTATTGAAATAGTAGATATTGAAAATCATTGAATTTTAGAAGACTTTTGAAAATAATTGAAACTTTGACAAGAATTTGATTAAAATTTTGTAAAATAATTGAATATCAGAGAAGAATTTTATTATTTATAAAGAGAATTGAAATTTTGACGAGAATTTAAAAAAATTTTTGAACACAATTGAATTTAGTACACGGAGAGAGAATATATATTAAATTTTGTAAAAGTATTTTACAAATTGGGGAAAAAGTGCGGCAAAGTGAAATTTTGGTATAAAAAATATTAAATTTTAAAAAAACTTACCGTCAACAGGGGTAATTATGGAACATCAGAGGTAAATATGGAACGCGTAATTCTTTTTTATGTAAAATTTTTCTGGTAAATTATTTTAATTTGGTTCTTGTTGTAAATAATAGTTTAATATATTGCCTACAAAGTTATTCAGATGTTTTTAATTTTATTGTCATTGGCAACGAGAAAATAATAATTAAATATCGAAAAAGTGGAAAGGTTATTTCACAAAAGTGTAAAAATCTACTAATTTCTTCGAATTAAATTCGCGTTTAGTTTACTATTATTATCTATTATTATTTTACTCTGCAGTACTAAATAAAGTTTTCTTAATATACAGACAAAGAAAATTTGTTATACTTTCTTTTATAATTAATTATAATAATTTGTTCCATAATTGCCCCAAATGCGAGGCAATTACGGAGCAATATTTATGTTTAAATAACTCCGTCAAAAAAATTTTTTTTTTTTGTAAATGGAACTTGAAGGAAATCTTTAGAAGAATGTTCACAATATATTTGAATAGCTAATAAAATTTTTTTGTACACTTTAGATTTTTAGTGAAGAAGAAACTCTAAAAATCGCGTTTTTTTGTTCCATAATTACCCCTGTTGACGGTATATGAAATTTAGTATAATTATGTCAAATATCAAGAATATTTATTAAATTCTAATATAACTACTAAATTTCACATAAGTTCTTTTAAAATTTAATATTTTTTATACCAAAATTTCACTTTGTCGCACTTTTTCCCCAATTTGTAAAATACTTTTACAAAATTAAATAGGTATATATTCTTTCTCCGTGTAACTATGTTACTAATAAGTTAGTTAGTAAGTTAGTAACTAACTTACTAACTTATTATTCTCCCTGGAGAAGCTAAATTCGTTGATTTTTTACAAATTGTTGACTTTGGTGTTTTATTTAAAGTAAAATTTCATTGATAGTTAAAAATAACACCAAAATAGATTATTCTAATCCTTTCTGGTGTTATTTTAACACCTCACGTTTTACTGTGCTACTAGAGAATCATAAGAAGATTTTAAAAGTAGGTATAAAATTACTTTTTTCTGAAAATCCAGATTGTGGACACCAAGGTGGACACTATGATTATTTTCTATTGAGAAAATAAAAAGGTAATCAAAAAAGAAAATGGTCTTAATATTTTTTTTTGCATGAATTAAGAGTCTTTTATTACCTAAGGGTATTTTTTTCGAATTGCATCGCAACAATTTTAATACAAGTTTTGTCTCAATTTGATATCCTTAGAAAAACTTTGTGACTATATTTTATCAAAAAAAGAGTTATTTCTATTTTTCGTTGTTAAAGCAACGTTGTAAACTTCAAGTTCCCGCGGTTAAAGAGGCAAGAAAAAATTAAATTTTTCCGCAATTACAAAAATTCAGATTAGCTCTAATATAGTTGAAATTAGTTTTGAAATTTTATATACAATAAACCGTAAAATATGTCATTTATCCAAGAGAGAGGAAAATATAGTTGCGAGTTGACAATCTAAAGAAGCTGAGGCAAGGGTGTAACTTATCTAGACAGGTTTAATTTTCCTCAGGTTGACTGAAGGGCCGAGTTTGCGGGATAAATTTTCCCAGGACCTTCACTTCTTCTTCTTCTTCTTATCTTCTTCTCCTTCTTCTTCTTCTTCTTTGCAGAATCTGTCGTATGACGCTATTAACTCACCGCGAACTCGTAATCAAATTTCGTCTAATTAATTTTTTACTCGTTATTTTCCTATAAAAAAAACACGAACTGGCAAAGAATATAATTATATTTATATATAAGGTAAATAAATTTTTGAGGAAAAAAATAAATAAAAAATATTAATAAGTAAATTGTTCTGTATTTTTTTCGTGGGATAAAAAATACTTGCAACTTCACTTTTAGCGTGGGTTTGACTTTGATGCAAATCTTATCCAAGTACATAGATTTCTCATTTAATTAGATTAATTGGCGTTGCGTTAAATTCTAAGATTAGCTTGATCTCACCACTGGATAGCAAGTTGAAATTAAACCTACGCATTCTATACCCAGAGCAGCTGCAAATTAATACCATTCAACCGTTCGCAACTTGACTTGACACACACAGACACGAACACTATATTGGTTTATAATTATTACTTTTCAATTATACACGCAGACGAGAAAGTAATCAAAACTTCTTCTTGATAGGAAATTATAATTCTTTGCTCTTTGCTCGTAAGGAATGTCCAAATAGCGCAACATTTCATCAATATCATCATATTGATATAAATATCATTTTGTCAATATTCACGATGATGAGGAATTAATTATATTAAAAATAATGGATTTGTAAAAGAATTTTTTAGAGTTAAAAACAATAAAAAAATTAATTTTGGAGAATAAGTTAGAAATTATTGTAGAAATTCAATTATTTTTGAAAGTTATAAAATTCTCGTCAAAATTTCAATTGAAAATAATAAAATTTTTCTCCGAAATTCAATTATTTTCAAAAATTTTAATAAAATTCTTGGAAAAATTTCAATTATTTTCAAAAATTTTTCTCAATTCAATGATTTTCAATATCTACTAAGTTAATAAAATATTTTACAAAAATTCAATTATTTAAAAAAAAATTTGAATAAAATTCTACGCAAACATTTAATTATTTTCAAAAATAATAAAAATTTCACAGGAATTCAATTATTTACAAACATTTTATAAATTTCTTCTGTATTATTCAATTATTTTTATAAATAATAAAAATTTTACAGAAATTCAATTTTTCTAAATTTCTTCACAAAAATTCCATTATTTTCAAATATAATACAATTTTTAACAGGGATTCAA